CTGGGGCCAGTACTACCCTAAGAAGAAGTGTTTCAGGTCACCTTAGTGAGAAGGCTGTTGTAAGTCTCTGTATTCTAGCATCTATATTTATTTCATTTACATTGAGAAAAGGAAAAAGCTTTGTGGCCTTACAACCATTGAAAACAAGGCATCTATACAGGAAGTACTTTTTCTAGTGGAAGTGGTTGTCTGAAGTGTTGTAAGTGAATTAAAATCAAGTAGGAGTGTGACATTGTGCTTACCTGGGCAAGCAGAACTCTTCAGGTTTATTCTGCATTTTTCCTACCATATTTGAATGGAGAACTCTAAGCAGTTTTACAGAAGTTCATGAGCATTACATTTGATGTGTATTAACAGCATTTACTGGAAGTTACAATACAAGTTACAGGTATGTTACCCTACATAGGAAGAATTTTACTTCTGATTGACTGCAACTGTGTGACTGTGCTTTCTATGCACTGCCACAAAGTAAATGGAGATTTTGTGCTAGTGTCAGAATTAAATGCACACATTCAGTATTTGGAATTGGATGCTGTAAGATTCTTTTAGCCCTTACAATTATTTGATTTAAACAGTGAAGTAAGGTAACACATGCTGGTTGGACCTTCAAAAGCTGAAAGAGGAAGTTATCTGGGTTTGAAAAACTTCTTGTCCATCTGTCATGGACATGCCTCTTGAATTTAGAGACAAGGATGTTGTGTGGGACAGTGTCAAATGCTTTGCACAAGTCCAGGTAGATGACATCAGTTGCTCTTCCATTATCTAGCAACTCTGTAACCCCATCGTAGAAAGCCACCAAATTTGTCAGGCACGATTTGCCCTTAGTGAAGCACATTGGCTGTCACCAGTCACCTCCTTTTCCATGTGCCTTAGCGTAGTTTCCAGGAGGATGTTACGTGGTCTTGTTGTGCACAGAGGTGACACTGTCAAGCCTATAGTTCCTTGGGTCTTCCTTTCTTCCCTTTTAAAAAATGGGGGCTATGTTTCTCCTTTTCCAGTCAGTGGGAACTTCATGGGACTTCACGGCTTCTCAGATATGATGGATAGTGGCTTAGCAACTTCATCTGCCAGATCCCTCACAAATACCAAATACCATACTCCTTTATGCTAATTTTACTTCACAATTACAGTTTCAGTTTGGGGCCAGCTTCCAGAAAATGTAAATATTATTATTATTATTTTTGTCACTACCTAATACTTTGATAATGCTGCTACAGTATGTTTTGGATATGTCTTCTTTTTTATTAGTACAGTTGACTGAAAATTATTCTGCATCTGGGTCTTGATCACTTCTGTATAAGTGTTATTTCTGTCACTGAAATAGAATTGAATTTTGATGTGTGAATTTTGAATGTTAACTTGAAATTATTTTACTTAGAAGATAACCTCTAACAGGCCTGTAGCATCAGCATTTGAAAAGACGAGATTCTGTGATTTCTTTGTTTATCGAAGTATCTTGCACAGTGAATATAATAAAGGACAGTTAATTACAAATGGTTTTATCTAACTTTTTTAATTAATGATGTAATGATATGGTATTCTCTTCAGCTTTTTTGCTCAAACTTGAATTTGTGCTCGAGAACCAGAGCCTGGTATTCTAGTCTTGGAGAACTTGAGATTTGCTTGTGCTTGGAACCTGGTGAATTAGTAAAAGTGGCTGAGGGACAGCAGGTTGAGGGAGTGACTCTTCCCCTCTATTTGCCACCTGTGAGACTAGCAAGGTGGTTAAGGGGCTGGAGCACTTGATATTTAAGGAGAAACAGAGAGGTGGATTTGTTCAGCCTTAAGAGAAGGTGAAGGAATAGAGGAGATCTTACTGCTGTGGGTGGGATGGTGTAGGGCCAGGCTCTTCCTGGAGGTGCATGGCAGTGAGATGAGAGGCAGTGGACACAGGCTGGTTTAGCTACAAGGAAGGTCTTTCTGGTTTTGGTTTTGTTCTGGTTTGTTTGTTTGTTTTTAACCTGGAGAGGTCAAACACTGAAGGAGGGGTCTAGTGAGTGTGTGGAGCATCTGTCTGTGGAGGTGTTAGAACGTGACTGGACAAAGGTGTGTGTACCACATCTAGTTCAGTTTGTGCTGGATGGCATATTAAAATTCCTCCCAACCTATACTGTCCTGTTGTTCTGTGATTACTCAGAAAACAGGCATTATAGCTTTGGAAATGAAGCGTTAAAGTTATGCTTAGGAAAACACAAACCCAATAAAGTATGCAAGAAACCGTAGATTTCCTTGAAGTTGCATCTGGAATGAACATATGGTCATCACAAAAACTCGTAATTTTAATTTTGCTTACCATATTCTATGAATTTAAAAAAAAAGGGAGGACCTCTCATATCTTCTTATTGGTAATTTATGGGTTAGAATTTTTGTTAAAAAAGCTACTATACTGTTTGAGAGAACATCAAGCAAGAGACCTGATGAGAATGTAAGGAGTTTTTATATTTCTTTCTTTGTTCTCACACTTACTGTTTAGTGAATTTTAGGCAGCAATGCCTTAAAGAGATTCATAGACACTGTTGTGAAAGCTGGTTTACTGTCTGGGAATTTTTAAGGAGAAGAAAATTACTATTCAGATCCCTGCGTGCAGCCAAATATTTTAATTTAAAACTGTTGCTTACTCAGATCATCTACTTAAGACATATGGCCATTGGTTACATTAACTCTGCTTTCACAGTGGTCCAGTTTAAAAGTAATCTAAGCCGTCAGTTTTGACTCTTATCAATCTCTAGATGTCATTAAAGGTTAAAGACTAAATACTGATGGATTTAGCTTGGTCTCTGCTGTATTTGGTCTAAACCAGAATTGGCTGTGGGTTTCCATGAGTTCATGTTGTGCAGTAAGTTTGAAGAATTTGTGTCATTGCTTCTTCAAGATGATTCACTGTTAAAGAAAAGCATGACATGGCTACTAAATATCTTTAAGGAACCAATTTTTAATTAATTCTAGCTCATAAACTCGTGGATTAGTGAATAAGCTGGCAGGAAATTAAATGTGTGTTCGAAGAGCAAGTGCTGCAGTTTGGAGTATGATGCTTTTCATCTTTTGCTTATTGCAAAAAACATCTGATCCAGACTCAAACTGGAGTTCAGTTGTGATATACAAGTGGCTCTTCCAAAAGTGTTAGGGACTGTGGTGATGAAGGTGTAGTAGAAGAACCAGTGTATTTCTTATCTCCTGGCATTTAAGCTCCTGTTTTTAGAATGGTGGAAGGAGTATAGTATAGTAAAGGATTAAAGTTCTTCTTACATTCTGAAAAATGCCAGGCCACCCACTACATATTTGTTCGAAAATGTGGACAAAGAGCTATTAATATTAAATGCCTTGGGTTAGAAGAGGATGTGTAAGACTGGTTGATAGTATGTCTCTGTAGTTTGAACTGGAGATGATTTAGCAATGACTGCATAATAGCAATGATGGCAAAGTCAGCTGATGAAGTAATTTCCATCTGAGGTTCTGAAAAAGGAAAAGGCTTAAGGAAACTTTAGAGACTGGCTTCCTCTAACGTGGTCTACTCTCAGTAAGTACTCAGTTTTCCACAGTTTTCATTTTTCGGTTGGGTGGAATAGAGAAAGGAGGAAAATCTGTTAGCATTCTGTTCTTCGGAAAGGCACAACATTGTTTGATTTGCAGCTGTGTTGGAAAAGGTGTCTGATCTGGGTCTGTTTTCCTCTAGAAACCCAGCTTCCCTTTGCCAGAAGCGCTTTCAGCTTTCTCACTGGCCTGATGGAAGATGCTTACCACTTGGCTCCTTTGAAGGTGAGGGAGATTTGTACCTATCTACCCTTGCAGCCTACAGCTGGGGTCTGTGACTGAACTTTGAGCGGTTGACTCGAAGACCCAGTGCCATCAACTGGTGTCTGCCTTCGAGTTCTCTCTGCCTGCAGGGATCACCTCAACTCTCTCCCTCCGTATTTTCAAATCATAGTTAGATGTGAGAAAAATAATGTCTAATTTCACTGTTTAGATGTGTGAAAAGCAGGAAAATTTTTTAACCTGTACATTTTGCTGTGCCTCATCTGTACCAGGAGGATTATGCTACTTTAATTACTTTAAATTAGTTTGGTTACTGGAAGAGGGAAATCAGAGAAAGCCTTACTTTAATGTAACCACATGTCTTTACTGACACTTGTGCCAAAACTTTCCCATACGTGTCTACAATTCAACTGCAACTTCTTGTTTTTGTTAGAAAAGAGGTACCTCATTGAAATAACCTCTGCTTATACAGTATGAAAACTACAAAATTATCTCACAGTAGTTTTTTCTTGCCCCTTGTGTGCATTCAGCATAATGGAATTCCTTTCTATTAGTCATAAGCTCTGCAGATAAATGCTATGTGCAGTTCTATATATCCTTCTTTTAGAGAATTAAACTTCATATGCAGGGAAAGAATTCAGGGAGCTTATGTACCTACCGATCCTTAGCACCTTTTTTAGGTGATGTCTTGGTCATTTTCAGCAGAGGACAAATGCAATTTGGAGTGCAAGGAGCTCTTAATCTTTCTAGGAAATGGACTTCCAAAATGAATTTTATTTTGGTGTCTTTTCAGGACATTATTTACAATTTTTAGGATGATTCAGGATGTGGATTGGCAAAACTTGAACTCTGATCAAGCAAAGCATCTGATTGGATTTTTTCAAAGGCTTCCAGCTATCATTATGCTGCAAAGCGTGTTTGCATTTGCCTTAATTATTTAGCATTTTTTTTTAATAGTAGTAAGTTTTATCTATGAAAAATTATCCCCAAAGCCTGAAAATAAATGGAAATAAGACATTTAAATGCAAATAGAGTATCCAGTTTTTAAGTAGTAAATACTGCTCAAATGTGGTTCTGGAATAGATGTGATTATTGAAAAGACTGATTTACCTTATTTTGCTTTCTTTTAAAAAGTGATTCTAAATTACTGCATTTTTCTAAGCCTCTAATTCTTTGGTTTTTTTAGGGGGTTCAGCCTTGGTGAAGGTGTACTGGGCAAGTATTGACTTGAAAAAGCTGCCTTTAGGATGTCTGAAGATGATGAAAAAGTTAAGCTCCGTCGAATTGAACCTGCCATTCAGAAATTCGTTAAAGTGGCAATTCCAACAGATTTGGAGAGGTTAAGAAAGCACCAAATAAATATTGAGAAGGTCAGTGTTCACGTTTTACTAATACAGTTCTTTCTGCAGTATAGAAGCAGTTCTAATGGAAGATTAGGTAGAGATTTCAATGGAAAGTTGATTATTAGATGTTTTAATTAAAATTTGGCTAAAAATGAAGCTTCTGTATTGTCTGACCATTCAGTGTGTACAAAGGCCTTTACTAGTGGGAACTAGTCAGTCTGCAGAGTGAGAAACAGTGCTGTTTTGTGTTAAAAAGTTGTTGTAAGGAAAGCAGCCTAATAGTCTTATTTTATTTTTTAAGTCATAGTGGTTTGCTGCCAACTATTCTGAATAGCTTACAGTTTGTACCTGTCTTTTCCTATATATGTTTTTAAACTGACGTGAGAGAAATAGAGAGATTGAATTATTTAAGTAAATGGAAAAAGAACTGTATCAAAATTGCAGCGTATTTATATGTTTCTTGTTGACATTAGCTCACACTTGACAGTGAAGCTGAATATGCTTCCAAGAAAAATTAGTTAAAAAGTTAAATTCTTCTGTACGCTGTGGCAATGCCTGTACCGGTAAAATAAACATGCCCAGGACAGTTGTCTGACATGAAAAGGCCTATGTCTATATTATTAAACTCCCATATTCTGCAAAACAGAGTGGCTGCATCCACACTGCTAATGGGGAATAGCCTCTGTTCTGCATTTTTAACTCCTGAACCGTGGCCAAAACCATACCAGAAACAGTTTAACAATTTAGCAGCACAGATGAACAGATTTCAGACTTGAGATATTCTCAGTCTCTGTTTATTAGTATAGCTGTAACCTGTGGAAACAGAGAAATTGGTTTGTTGAGGAAGGTGGTAAGAGATTTACTAAAAGAGATGACACCACTAAGAAAAGGAAGAGAGATTGTGAGTCAGGAAGGACGCTTACAGTCATAATACCAGTATTGCGATGGAATTTTTGGAATTATTGATATAAGACAGATTTGTTTAGAAAAGATTTTGCTTACCACCACAAAAAAATCTGTGACAGTGAGTGCCTGTAGTTCTGTGAAGTTCTGTACGTGATTCTGAAAAGTCATACGTCATATTAATTTCACTAGGCTTGTTCACAATATATAAAATCAAGTGTATATGTAAGTCTGGATGGTGTAGGACAGCTATCTACATTTTCTAGCACCTTGGGAAGGAATGAATAAAAGGGAAGAAAATACGTGAACATGATTCTGATTTCCTGACAGGTATGATCTGAAGGTATCTATAATGTTATTGTTGAAACTGTTTTGTATTTTGCTGCTCTCACAAGTTCACAGCTTTACTATAACTTTACTGTGACTTTACCAAGTGAGTAACCTTTTGGATGAATTTTCCGTGCCATATTTCTGCCTTGAGTAGTTTGGGGATGAGGGAGGAGAGAAAATAAATCCATGTATTTGTTTCTGAGAACATAGTGAGGAAATAATGTGTTGTTCAAGTGATAGTAATTTCTCTTAGTAAGAAATGTTTCATTTAAGTGATAGTGATTGATAGCTTACTGCTAATAGTTTCTTTTCAATGCAGTGATGTGTTGGAACAGTGGGGTGGTCTTTTTTGGACTGTACATATTGCTATGTTTCTACAAATCTGCTGTGTTTTAGCCAAGAGGTACGATTCCGAAAGAAGGTGGTTTGCAGGTACTCAGTAGATACTGGTTAAACTCCACCACTGAAGATTGCTAAAGATTTACCCAATACTGGGTAAATCCCACTCCTATGCTCAGAAATTACCAGAACTCATTCTTGGAGTTACTGATTTGATTGGTCCTGAATCTGGGAATGAAAACAGGGAGATGATTTTTCTTGTGTCTTCCCGCAGTCTCATCCTCTTACTTTCCCTTACTTGTGTGCAAGAGGAAGCTCTTTCTGGCTCATGTAAATAAAGGATAAAGATTTGGGTGAGGGGAGCTTGTGAAGAAGTACCTCAGCTGGAAGGTGAGAGTGCAGAAATGGTGGGTGACCATGAGATAAGAGAAAAACTGGAACAGAACAAGAACTAGGGTTGCTGAGACTAATGATGGGAGATAATAATTTGACTCTTTCCTGGTAAGGGTGTAATAAGGACACAGTAAGGATATGAACTGCAATATTCCCAAACTGAAAAGTGTATTAGTATAATATTTGCCTGAAACAATAACTTCAGAATGAGATGACCTGTTTTTTCCAGTCACATCATGGTGTTTACTCTTTGTGATACCATATTTGTGTAACTCATTACATTACCTAGATGCCAGCTGATTCAGCATTTTTTCCCTTGAATCGGCCACTTTCCAGCCATCTCGAGCTGTAGCAGCCAGGGGCAGCTTTCTGTTCTCCAGCTTCTCCTACAAAGAACAGTTAATTGAGTTACTTTGGAGTAACTGGAGCTGGAGTACAGAGGAGCTCTTGGGTTAGGTGATGGGGGAACAAGGACCCCCGACTGTTAAATTGCCCTGGAGAGGTGTACAGCCTCCAGGGATCATGTGTAGGTCTCTCAGTGTGCACAGCCCATACCTAGCCGTGGCCACAGGGCTAGCTAAGGGCAACTAGTGAAGAGTAATGTGGGATAGGACAGGATGCAGAGGTGCCTGGAGGAGAGAACATTGTAATAATAGCTTTTCTGTGCAAGCTGTTCCATTCAGATACAGGCAGCCTTGATAGCTGGGTTCTTTCCTTCTTTCTATAACCAGAAGTTGCCCGGCTATGCCTGGAAGCAACATGCACTTATTATAGTACACCAAAAAGGGATTTCTTGGTTGCAGAGGGGTAGTTTTTGGTCCACAGTTGGTTTATGTTAAAATTATGCTAAAGATTCTATCTTCAGTTAACACCAGCAGCTTCAGTAACTGTGGACCAGTGAGGTGTACCATTCTTCAGAGTCTGGAGGAAGGCATCCAGAAATTAAGGGATGCAGTTAATAAATACCTTTAACAGGGTGGCATGAAAGCTACAGCCTTGCCTGAGAGGAGCAAACAAGTGGTCACTGGAAAAGGGTTGTCTGTTGATGGGAGTAGGGAGCTGACCTGCCAGATTAGCAGGGCACATTAGCATTACACAAATGTTTTTGTTGCACTTTGAAGGTAAGATGACCTTTTGATTTGTGTATAGAAGTAATTAGAGATAGAGGGTGGAGGGGATGGGCATAACTGTTACACACTGCTTGATTTTTTAAAAATTTTTTTTTTAAGAATATTACTTTGTACAACTAAATAGTTTCCTTGTTAAATATTACAGAATCACAGAATCATTAAGTTTGGAAGAGAGTACTAAGATAATCAAATCCAACCATCAACCTAACACCACCATGCCCACTAAACCATGTCCTGAAGTGCCACATCCACATGCTTCTTAAACACCTCCAGGGATGGTGACTTCACCACCTTCCTGGGCAGCCTGTTCCGGCGCTTGACTGCTATATAGACATTGTCCATATGTGTAAAAACTCCTTCATTTAGGGTATATAAAAGCCCTATCAAGAAGCTTCAAAAGACATGGATGTTGCAGTGAGGAATAGAGACATGGTCAGTTATTACCCTGTGTAGTACTTACCGGTGTGAGAGATGATCTTGGGAACTTGGTTTTGTAGAACGTGGGCAGTGAGGAGAGGTAGCCAGTTGCTGGTTGGTCCTGATAAAAATCTTTTACATATTTAGACAAATAGTAATCATGCTGTATCTAGTCAGATAGTGTTACCATGGTGTCAGGGAAGGGGTGAAATATGTTACATTTAGTTCAGCCATGTGTTGGTCAACTGAAGTCTTCATTGGCCCTTCATCAAGCATTCCTGTTTTGCAGATAGAATGGGAGATCGTTGCAAGAGTAGTTTTCTGTGTCTGGAAGAAAATGCAGAAAATATTAGTGCTCAGGATAAAATGCATCTTTAGGTCTGATCTAGCACTTTGTTCAAAGCATTGTCGGAGGAGCTCGTGCTTAGCTGGAGTTTAATTATAGACCGTACAGACTATGTATATACATACATACATACATATACATATACATACATACAGTGTTTCTTTAATGGCAATCAGTGACCACAGCAAAGTATCAAGATGCTTTATAAGTCATTGAATTTTATATTTTGAATGTAAAAATCTGATACAGCCTAAAAGTATCTGGTTTGGACATTTCCTGAGGTTTTCAGCTTGCTGATGGTATCAGTGTGAATGATCTGTTCAGTCAACATAAAATTTGCATATTAGAAGATTCTTTGGATAATTGTAAACATTAAAGTGTTAACTGCACTTCCCCTACAACAGCACTTTTATGAAAGCAAGAAATGGTAGCAATGTTTCGTATAGATTTGTCTTTCTGATTTCAGAATACTATTATGAATTTCTGCATCCCTAAACAGTATAAATCCTGGCAGATTTGATAATTGAATCAGTAATTAATGGAACTGTTAGAAACAAGAGACTATGGATAAAACCTTTAAACAGACAGTTGGTAACTATACCAGAAGCTATTCAGCAGTACTGAAGACTTCAGAACTTCTGTGCGTTGGCAAAAAGTATTAGACACAAACATTTACAAGAGGCAGTACATCTGAGTATAAAAATAGTCCCTAAATGCCAGATTCTTTAAAAAGATGGTGAGAATAAAAATATGGCAAATTGGAGGTTGAAATCTGTCACTTGATCGTTATAGGTTATCAGAACAGTAGCAATAGTTTGGTTTAAGTACTTCCATGATAATTTGAATTTTTCATCTTCTACATGCATTTTCACCATAATGAATGTGTTACAGCACGTTTACGAGCTCTTAGCATCAGCAGCTTAAATGGTTTTCTCTAAAATACTTTTTGTAAAATTAACTTTCAGCCATGTAAACCAAACATCCCTAGAGGTAAAAGGATAATTTTGTAGAATCTGATCCTGTTTATTTTACAGGCTACTTTTAAGCAAAAATCACTAATTATGTCAAATTGCTTAGAGCAGCAACATTATTTACTTATGATGAAGCCAATATCTCTAACCTCATTTCATGAATATTGATTTAAACCTTAGGTTCCAGAGATAGTCCAAACAATTAATCTACTAAATCACTGTTTGAAGAAACTATAAAATCAATATATAATGAAATTTGACCTTGAGCACACCTTTTCAGAGGAAGTGGCTACCATAAATCCATCGTCATTGCTTCTCAACTATTTGAGAGTCCAACTTTCCATATGACAGTTTCTGAAGACTTAAAAATTACATCCTTAAGAAATCAGTATTCTATGCTTGTTTGGTTTTTTTTTTTCCTTCTGTGCTTTCCCCATAAGAGTTCTGTTTTCTAAAGCGTGTTCCAGGGTTTGGATGGCCTTTCACTCCAAAACAGAGGATAAAATGCATGCTTATCCAAAAGAGTTACAACTCTCTGTTAACCTCTGTTAGATGAAAGCGGTTGTCACGGTACTACAGGAAGGTAGAGATTTTGGCATGGGTCCTGAACTTTGTTGGTGGTATGCAGCCATCCTTAAAAAAAGTACAGTAAGTCATGGCATCCTTTTCCCTGTTGCTTTCAGTTTTAATTTCATTTCCTGTGAGTGTACCAAAGTTAAAGGGGAATGTGTGAAACACTTTTTACCTTTGGCTGGGGACCATTGTTGTGGTGGGAAGATACATAAGGGTGACACAAAATGAGAAATTAAGATATCTGAGTCTTACTGCAATCTTCATCAGGGTTTATACCTTTATATAAGATATTTATTGCAGAGCTTTTAGAAATGTTGGTGAGCAGTAGCTGCTACAAAAATTAATGCAGAGAATATGATTAAAAGTTTTGAGTTCTCTCCATGACCACTGGATATTTTCAAAGAGAAATGGGAGGGATCTAAATCATAAGCATTAAGGTTTTATTTCTAAAGAGAGTTCTCAAAAGAGAATGGGACAAAGAAGAAAAGAGATTGAGTGTCTAAGAGTAGCCTGATGTTTTGTATTTCTGATGTGGAATGCAAACTATTTGGCTGTGGCACAATTATGATCAAGTATCAGAGGATCATGGAACCACGGAGTGGTTTGGGTTGGAAGGGACCCTAAAGATCATCCAGTCCAACCCCCTTGCTATAGACAGGGACACCTCCCACCAGACCAGGTTGCTCAAGGCCCTGTCCAACCTGGCCTTGAACACTTCCAGGGAGGGGGAATTCACAGCTTCCTTGGGCAACCTGTGCCAGTGTCTCTCCACCCTCACAGTAAAGAATTTTTTTCTTATGTACAATCTAAACTTAACCTCTTTCAGTTTAAAAGTGTTGGCCGTTGTCCTGTCTCTGCAAACCTTAGTAAAAGTCTTTCTCTGTCTTTCTTCTCTCTCCTTTATGTATTGAAAGACTTCATTCAGGTCTCCCCAGAACCTTCTCTTCTCCAGGCTGAACAACCCCAACCCTCTCAGCTTTTCCTCACAGCAGAGGTGTTCCAGCCCTCTGACCACTTTAGTGGCCCTCCTCTGGACCTGCTCCAACAGATTAGGATTCCATAGGTGCTTTTACTTCATGGAGGTCCTTTAGTTTTACATGTATTTGTTAATGATAAATAATGTCAATACCTTCTCTTCTGAAGGTGTACTATCCTTGAATCCCCAAGAGTGAACATTGCCCAGGAGCACAACTTACTTTGTGTTGGATGGCAAAGAGAAGTCAAGAAGGAGGAATTCTCTGACCACATGAATGTCATTGCTCTGGGTGTATTAAGTCATTGGATTCTTTGAGGTCATCACTGGCAGGCTAGGAATTTTGAAGCAAAGTAATAAAACTTCTAACTATATAAAGCAGATAAATGTGCTGAGCATTTCTAGTAGAAATTTAAAAAAGCAGTAAAGGTTTCTTCAGGAATTCTTTCTGTTCTTCAATGGAAAATAAGATTTTTTAATTATGCAGTATATGGACAATAAATTACTGTCAGTTGAAATTGAAAAGGTAATTTTCCCCCAAACCACTTTTGTGCTACCCTCAGAAATTCCCATTTCGTAACTCTTTTGGGGATGAGTGAATTGGAAGACCTACTGCTGATGCAGACTTTTTTGTCCATTTTATTTTAAAGAACAATGGCAGTAATTTTAATGGCATAATCATTCATGCAGAAGTTGCTAGTTTCCTAGAAAAATCACTTTAATCTGACTTAATTGGACACTAAATGTTTTCTCTTTCATAGCACTACAAAATCTTGGCATGAAAGAAGTTTTTTCTCTGAAAATAAGAAGTAACTTCAGATGTCTTGTATTTTAGGGAGCTGAGTAACTTGTGATCCTCATTGCTGTGGCCTCTCAAATTCTGAAAATAATTAAGGAAAGATATAGGCTGCAGATAGTTTTTATTGGTAACAAAGCATATAAAATCAAGGAATTACTTTACATAAAAATACCTCAAAAATCATGGTAAATATTTTGTCTTCTTATTTAAACTATTAAGTGTTCTAATATTGTCTGGTTTTGTGAAAGCATTCTTTGATGGTTTCAGCACATGTTCCAGGAATCAAGGCTTCCTCTTCTGTTGTTTACTACTCTTTTTCGTGACAATGTCTCTATATTATTTAAGTCAACTGCCAATAGCAGGGATTGATTTCTTTTAACAACGAAAGGGTGTTTATCTGATGATATGCAGTTCTTTGGCAAAACTTGCTCTCTGTTCGTGGAGTCATTACTCTGGTCCGTGTCCTGTAGGAAGTGCTGTATGGATGGTTTCCCACTGAGGTTAGTGGAGCCTCATGGGGGTACCAAATCTGCCCTGATCATTCTCATAACTGTGTTTGTAACTATATAGAAATGCTAAGTTTTTAAATGTAGACAGTAATGTTGTGTAATGAATGCAATTTTTTTTGTAAATTATATCAGATACCTTGTTGTCCTGTATGACCTGTACTGCTTATCCCCTGTTGCATTCCTTTTTCCTCCTTCTGCCCTTTATTTTACTGACCATCAAGTGATTTCTGCCACAGCAGTGTCAGGATGTTGCACTATCTCTTTGTTGTTAAAAACTGATGCTGAAACCCTGGTTATCTGCAGTTCAGTAAAATACATAGTGCAAAATGATTCACAAAATACATTGCCATTTACCTGTCTAATTTTGCAGTGGAAATGCCTATGACTCAGCTTCTTTACTGTCAATTTTGGAAAATTAAAGTGGTTATTTAGAGAAGGTTCATTTTTTTCTGCATAGTCAGTTGGTAAAAATAGCAATTATATGGAGTGTTTTTCCTTTATTCTAGTATCAGAGATGCAGGCTGTGGGACAGATTGCACGAAGAGCACATCAACGCAGGACGAACAGTTCAGGTAATGATATTAAAATGACTGTGATATTAATGGAATTAAATTTCATACATAGTACTGGTTACCTCAGGGATGCATTTTCACAGAGACGTGTGTTTGACAAATGGGTTTGACAAGTACATGGTATTGCTTTACGACATTTAAAAGATAGGGCTTTCCTAATTGTGTCCTGTGAGGCAAATACAGTCAGAAATGTCTCAGGATTCTTGAACGTAAAAGTTTGGAGTCTCTGCTCTTTTGCAAAATATCGTCTTACATTACTAAATTAGAAGACGGAAATCCAATAAGGAATACTTTTAATTCTAAAACATAGTTTCAGACCAAACAGAACATTTGGGCTGCTGGTTTGGTGTGTAATTCTTGTTAAATGCGTAATATCATGAAAGGGGGAAATACCGGATGCACTGGTCAGCATGGCATCATCTCAGTGACTTCATGCATAGTCACCCATAAGCCAGTACACAGAGAATCCGACATCTGTTTCTGAAAAATGCACGTCTTGATGAAACTGATCGAAAAGCTAATGCCAAACATCAGCCAAAGAAGGTTATCGGTACAGAATAACAAAGAGCAGATCTGCACTGCAAAGTTTGCCGACACAGATACAGCAGCTAATGGTTGTAACGTGCTGTGTGGGCAAAATTCTGGGGACAGTCATATCTTTGCCAGCAGGAGAGGCACCTTGTGTTGGTTTCAGGTGGTGGTCAGAGGAGGGAGGTGACTTTGTGTTAGAACAAACCTTTTGTGACCTCTGCTGCATCTAGACAAGCAGGCTTTGCCAGCAGCGGTAGCACAGTCCTAAACCACTGTATTCTATAACTGTAATACTGCAAATTCCCGTGTTTGTTGCAGTGTCTTACTGACTCCTGTGAGAAATTAGACCAGACTAAAAATGAAAAAGACCAACAACTCAGAAAGCAGAACATAATCGCGATTGAACAACAGTATTAGCAGGCAGAGCTGGAGTTATGTGTCTTTTTTCAGGAATGGAAGGTGTTAATGAGCTTTTTTAGTGTAGGTTGTAAGAAGTTCTATATGAAGTGAACTTAATTTTCCTGTTGTTTGGAGGTTTGAATGTTTCTTTTGATTGTCACGAAGCATTTTTTAAATTGGAATATAGAATACATTTATTCTTAATATCGAAAGAGTTTTCTTTACTATCAAGAGTGGAAGTCCTGTTAAAACATTGACATTCTAAAGGGTGTGATGTAGTGTGTTTGCTTATGTCTGTGCTCTAATGTGTTTTCACATCTGAGGAGTAGGAAAGGCTTCTCTTGCAGCTCCTTATGATCAGTATCATTTGTTTAGCAAGACAAAATCTATCAATAATTAGAGAAAAAGTAATCATGTTGAAGGTGATGTTTTTAAATACATTAGGTGCGTTAGTAATAAAACATTTATGTTTGTCTTGAACCTAAAGCCTGCCATTCTCACTTTCAGCCAAAATAAATTTCCTTATATTTTACTTAATTGTTTATTGCTTTTAATGCATAACTTGCATCCAGATCTAAAGTGGTTCACATTCCAATAGCCAGAAAGCAGAATAAGTATCTGGGTCCATGCAAGAAGAGTAGACTAACTCTTTGTTTTAATTAAATAGTTAGGAGTCCAGAGTACTTGATAATAAATTATATGACATGTAGAATGTGTTTGCTGTAAGCTGTTTAAATGTTTACCAATGGACTTGTGAGCTGTTTGTTTGCGAAGAAATCAGATTAATTATTGTGATACCAAATGTTCTCTGCAGCACACACTTTACTCTCAAAATTAGATGTTGTAAAAATACATTAGGAATCCCTAAGTCAATATTGACCCAAGGCATCCGCCACAGGTTTTAGACAAATATATGCACAGCCACTCTACATTTAATCCATGTGCACATAATTAGCCATTTTTCTGAATTTTCAGTTTACCCAGAATAATTACTTCTGTTGTACTTTTGATGATGGTCAAAATTATAATAGAAGTATAGCTGAGCATAAATGTAGACCTCCTCTTTCTGGTGACTGGGTGCCGCATAAAAAAACTTGCAAAAAGGAAAGTGAAGAAACTGGGGAAATCTTTGTATAGTGCACAGTGACACCCTTTCAGAAATACTGAGAAAATAGCTTTGGTATACCGTGTATTTATTAGTTTTCACAAATGTACTCTTGATTTTTATTCTTAAGGAGGATCCGTGGACTTCTTAAAATATTGGGACCTGAATAAATATGCAGTTTTGCAAGACTTTGCTCACATATATGCTGACTGTACTGTACAATGAGTTAATGATTTTAAGATTTAATTTCAATGAAATGGCAGTATTTTGTTCTAACACCTAAGGACTGCCTTGATCATATTCATAGTGAAGGGTAGAAAAATGCTGCAGTTACTAGAGAGGATACAAGACATGGAACAAAAAAAGGAAAAATACTGTTGATGAACGATCCAGCTTTATTCTGTATTCAGCCCACACAGGCAGACTGTTCTGCAAAACATACCTAGGCAGACGTAGGCTCTCCTCTATGTTTTTCTAACAGGGAAAGCTGCTTGAAGAATGTTCTTTTTTTTTCTTCCTTTTTCACTTTTATGATTTTCTTTTCAACTGAAAAGGGTTTACAAGGGAAAGATGGTTTTCATAATTTTGCATAAATCTTCAAAGCTTATTTGTAGGGCTCATGTAAGTATCTTTCTGAAATACCACACAAATACAGAGGAAGAGCATGAGAAGCTGAGTGGATGAGAGTCTTCATTGCCACAGGAGGTTGTTTATAGTATCAATGCCCCTGTACTTGGCACTGGTGAGGCCGCACCTTGAGTACTGTGTTCAGTTCTGGGCCCCTCACTATAAGAAGGATGTTGAGATTCTGAAGCGTGTTCAGAGAAGAGCCACAAGGATGGTGAGGGGTCTGGAGCACAAGCCTTATGAGGAGCGGCTGAGGGAACTGGGGTTGTTTAGCCTGGAGAAAAGAAGGCTGAGGGGAGACCTCATCACCACCTACAACTACCTAAAGGGAGGTTGTAGAGAGGTGGATGCTGGTCTCTTCTCCCAGGTGATGGGGGATAGAACAAGAGGAAATGGCACCAAGCTGTGCCAAGGGAGGTTCAGGTTAGAGATAAGGAAGAAGTTCTTTACTGAGAGGGTCGTCAGAAGCTGGAACAGGCTGCCCAGGGAGGTGGTGAAGTCACCATCCCTGGATGTATTTAAAGAGCAGGTAGATGAGGTACTTAAGGATATGGTTTAGTGGGTAGGCAGGAACAGTTGGACATGATGATCTCAGAGGTCTTTTCCAAGCGAGTGATTCTGTGATTCTGTGAATGAAGGGTCATGTAAAATCAACTCACTACTGCAGCCTGTGGCCATCTGTAGGGTAAATATGTCCTTAAACTCAGAGTTTCTTTGACCTATACCAAAAAATTTGTAACATACATCCTTTACTACGTTACTTTGAAAAAAGCCCAGAGAAGATACGTGAAGGCAGCATTACATTTGCACTGCTAAACTACAGGAATACTTCCTTAAAAATGTTACTTATGTTTAAGGTGGTGGGTTTGTTTGGAAGCACTGTTTACTTCTTAATTTAAAACAACAAAATGCAGAATGGAGGGACAGTTGATAGGGATTATGTTTTTGGATGAGGACAAGGACAATCATTGGCTGTATATATCCAGCATGGGAAGCTGTTGGGGCAGCACTTCTGCGGGAGAGGACTTGAGGGACACAGAGTGAACGTGAACTGATTGTGTGGCAGTGATACAGAAAAAAGCCAAATAACATAGGGCCGTTTGTAAGTGGGAGAGCAGTCAGTGCTGTCTCTCACACAGTGCCTTTGGTCAGCAGTAGATTTGTGATCCCAGGTAAAATAGTCCAGTTTGGGTGCCACACTGTTAAGGAAGCTGTGGGCTGATTAGGGAGTAGTCAGGGTGAGCAGTGAAAATGGTCAAAAAGTGGGAAAACGAGACTTATTTGGAAAGACTGACAGTAAGTGATTTTGCTCAGGAAACTCCTGACAGTGGCGTGCTGTCTGTTTGCAAACATGGAAGAGGTGGCTGCAGGGAGGACAGGGCTTGTCTTTCTCTGGTTTGAGCAGAGAGGATTAGAAATACCTGGATTAAACTGAGGCAGGAGAGACTTCTGTTAGCCATGAGGAAAATGCTATAGCAATTAGGATAATAAATGCTTGCAATATAATGTCAAGGAGGTTGCAGCTCTTCATAAAGGAGACCTTTTAAGACCAGATTAGATAAACAACTGTTGGAAATAAAATAGGGAGAATGGATCATGCTTTGCAGGGATGACTTCCCAAGGTTTTCGCCAGCTTTATTTTCCTACAGTTTTTGTGAGAAGGCCACTTGAAACAAAGATTTGAAAAAAATTGGGTTTGGAAATTAACAGACCAAAATTACAAATATTATAAAGAAAGATTCTGTGTCTTTTGGGCTGAATTTGGTGAGTTTGAAACTCAGGAGTTCCCATAAATGAAAACAAGATGTTGTATCACTGTCCTTGCTGAGTAAGCTTAGTTTTAAAAGTGAAAACAGTTAGGAAGAAGGTGATACACTTCTGTGCTCTATCCAGAAATTAATCTCTGTCCCATTAAGATGATTATGAAAAGAAGTCACTGCTATTTGCATATCCAGAACATTTATCATCTTCCACCCTGGTGAGGTCCTGAGACGCATCTCCTTGCAGCAGGGCTTACCTTTCTTGCTGGGCTGATGCCGTTTGGCTGCTGTTTAATTGGCAATAAATGGATCAAGAGTCCTCTCTCCAAAGCCACAAAGGAAGAGGGACTAAAATTAAATTTCACCAAGTAGGCAAATACCATCAGCTGATTCCTCCATCTTCTTTCTCACAAATATTTCTCTTTGGTCACCAGTTGAATAATAAACAGTGAATGTGAGGATCTGATTTGGCCATTCCTTGGGGTGGGTGGCTCGTGTCTCCTGAAGCTTCTGTTCAGGATTTCTGAAAGCCTCAGCAGCAAGTTGGTGGCTGTGTTGGTCACTGCCCAGTAACCATCTTAATTATACACATGCATTGGCTGTGCTGGTAATTTGCTGCAGCTGCAGTGGTGCAAATCCCTAGCAGAGCTATGTTTTAACTCAGTTTTCACTGGGAAATTTTCCTTTTAAAAAATAAACTGCTTTGGAAGCATTATTGGCCCATCCCAAACTCACTATTGTCACTCTTTCACAACAGGTTTTTGCTTGACGTACCATTTTTTGGTCTTCATTATGGCCAGAGACAGGATAATAACAACAACAACAACAACAATAACATTGCTTCCTGAAACATTAGGATCAACTTCACCTCATCCCTTGCATATAATTCTCACGAAATAGATAATTAAATGTGTCTAGGTAGTCCCATTTTGTCTTCCAATTCCAAGATTTTATACACTGATAATAATTTTGGCATGTGGTGGACTCCGACCGTGATGACATTTTCCCTTTTTCAGTACTTATGGGCAGACGATGGGAAGAAGAGAACAGGAAGAGAAAGGTAGATTAAGATGAGAAATATATGAGGAAACTTACTGGGGACGATGATTAAAATTCAACTCAGTATCTTACAAAGGTTTTTTTTGTATCTCTATTTTTTTTATTTTTAATTGGTGTTTTTACCTGGGGTTAGACTTAAATAATGTGACCTAAACTGGCTAGATCCATATAGTTCCTGCTTTAAGCAATGTTGTCGTTCTGAGGCATTACCTGTGCCTGGTTTGTATTACTGAAGAAAACCTTTATTTTTCTAACTGCTCACTGGTGTTAATCCAGTCTCTTGTTTTGCTGTGAGAAGAACATTCAAAACAATTGGTAAACAGCGGAATAAAGAACATAATTTATGTTATCACCTTAGAATGTAACACAATGAATATTATTTTTATTACAGCCTTTTTTTTTTATAATGAGATAAAAACTCTGTCCTAAAACACTGAGTGGTATAATTTAAACCATAAATTTCTTCTTTTCATTTGTAGAAAAAGAAAAGTTGTGTGCATTTTTAGATTTTAAAAGCCTAGGCGATAAAAACCTCCTTAATTTTTGTTGTAGATAGAAATTTATCTCACAGGAGATGCCTGCACACAGCCTCTTCTTGCTAGTTGTGAATAGTTTATGTCTTCTCAGAACTCTTGAAACCAAAGACGTATTTCTGTGTTTTATTATATTTGATATTCCAATCAAATATAGTTGTCCTTCTTCTGAAAAAAAAATAATATAAATATTGCAAAAAAACTAGTTCTTTTCCTTTGTCCCTGAAGTTGTCTTTTACAGAAAGAAAATGATCGTTTTGGGGTAGTTGGGGGCTGTGAATGATTGTATCCTGAAGTGCTATAATCACCACAGTCACTTACTATAAAAAAAAGCAAATTCTGAGAAGTAATCATTAACTTTACTTAGATATTATTTAACTTGTTGCAATCTGTGTAAATATTTTGGCAAAGGCCTAAATTGATCACAGACACGAAAATAACTTCAGGAATTACGTAGTGAATTAATTGCTAAAATACTTTAACTGAAACCCAAGATAAAACAAAGTGACTTCTTCAGTGGGAGAACACTGTTTGGGGACTGCTGTGTTGGGAGTTGCTGCCTCCATTCATTTTTTCTATAGACAGAGAACGGAGTGGATGCAAGCAGATATTAAAAATACAGCAGACTTGGCAGCTGGTTGTGATGTGGTGGCACCTCTGAGTAAGAAGCACTCAGAAGTCCCCGTGCCTTACTCTGTGGACGGCTTTGAGCTCCGGCTGAGGCACTGTACTTGTTTTGGGGTGACTCTTTTGCAGGAGCAGCACAAAAAAAAAAACAACCAGGGAATAGCACTCGGTCACAAAATAACAGAGTCTGGCAGACCCAGGATGGGTAAAAGGAAAGGATTTGTGGCGTTATTGGTGGCACGGGCTTTGACAGCAATTTGGGGATGCCTTTGATAGTGAACAGCTGCAGTCAAACAGTGCAGTCTGGAAATAGAGAGGAGAGGTGACCTGGAACATAGGGATTCCTTGAAACCTGGGACTTTGGAGGGTTTTCCTTGTTTTAGTTTATTAAAACTTAGAAATGACACTTTTATTTAAAGATGATCAAGATGATAGTTGCTTCCCAGCCACTGCAGGTGTTCGGTGCTCCTAGGTACTATGCTACAAAATAACTCTTAACACTGTTGCAGCAACTCCGTGCCAACATGAGAGAGATGGAGAAACTCTGTTTGCGAGTCCGACAGGAAGACATCCCCGTTCTGCAGAGAATGATAAATCCTGTTAAAGAGGAAGCTTCACTGGCCATAAAGGACTTCCTGCAGCTCCATTCTCAATCTGCAGAAGAACTTAAAAGGCAACTCGAAGGACAGGACGATGCCTCTTTAACCAGATCTGCAACTGTAGGAGGAGGTAGTAGAATTTAATTTCTGTATCTGTTATATCTGTATCGTTGTATCCAGCCCACAATTTCTCTGACCAGACATAAATTAAGTAAACAAATGAGATTTTAGTTGAATAATAATTGTTAATCGAGAATTGGATTTCTTTCCCT